TTCTCTCTCTCTCTCTCTCTCTCTCTCTCTCTCTCTCTCTCTCCCCTCCCAAGCCCCTCCTGTTAACTCACTGCTCTCCCTGTCCACTACCCGTACCATGTTCTCTCTCTCTCTCTCTCTCTCTCTCTCTCTCTCTCTCTCTCTCTGTGCCTTCCTCCCAAGCCCCTCCTGTTACCTCACTGCTTCTCTCCCTTTGTCCACTGCCCGTCCCATGATAACAACCAAACAATGAAGTGAAGAACCTGGGAAAATTTGAGAGTTGCAAGGACTTGCACAAGGCAACAGTAATCGCGTGGCGTATGAAACACAACAGTAGCAGCGATTGGCAAAGGCAAAATCCACACAAAAAAAGCAACACACCCGAAAAGGTGTTTGCTCGTGTTGCATTAGCATGTGGCACGTAATTAGGATCGCAACCTGGATCGAAACGGAATGCCGGAGGAGCTGTTATCGTCAAGAGGGCAGCTCGGTCTTTTGCATCTTCGACTTCAACTGTTTTCAGGGAAAAAACCCTCGGCAAAAGCAGAAGACAAAGGACATTCTCCCTCCGTGGAACAGCCAGCAGCAGCAGCAGCAAACTCCCGTGGGTGCACCCATCAAACTGCCTGCCCATCCATGTACACAAACAAATTGAATCGGACAAAATCCGATCGCTGGTAGTGTGGGGCAACCACATCTCTGTGTTGTCGACGTGCCCAGCACAACTATCCATCTGAATCTGGACAGATTGATACCCACAACATCTATCCCAGGCAAGAGTCGAGTTACTCTCCAACAACAAGGCTCTCCGCTGGAAGAGAATAAGATACATAAACCTGGACTTTCCCAGATGGATTTGGGTGTATTTTGTGGTCAGATTCGGTTAAAAAAGAAGTCCTGGTGTGAGTATGCTTTCAGATGCAATGTCATGTTCATCAACTTGTCGAGGAGTGATATATATCCCCTTCCCTACAACGAATTAAATATTATGAGCAGCTGCATATTTCCACACTGCACAGAGGAGTTAGTCGTATACGCCAGCAGTGGAAGTGTACCTGCAAACAACTTATGCTCCCATCTCTCCTGCTCTTACGTGTTTCACCGACAACCATGACCGCATCATTCCTGCATCATCATGAAATACAGCTATGGCTGTCGTAATAACGGGGCAAATAACCACTGCGATCATTCCAAAATTCCAAACGGCTTCAGCAAGTCCAAACGACATTCATGTCGCATTTTGGGCAGAATCTTCTTTTCAGTGTTTTCATAACTTTATTAAATGATGATCAACAGAATCGACAGCGCGGATAGTGTCTGCGTCACAAAGGATCCAACCACACACTTGCGGCCTAGCTGCACCACTCGCCATCCGGCAACATTTTGAACGCATCTGGACATGTGGTTGTCCAGATGCATTCAAAATCTTGGCGAACAGCGGGTGGTGCAAGTATGCCCTTAGAGCATATACTCGCACCTGAACTCCATGCAATGAATATATCAGACATGATGCCAGCTGGGTCAGATACATTCAGGAGAGTAGCTGTGAGTATCTTTAGCGAATCTGACTAGATTTATGGTCAAGTTCGGTCAGAGGAGGAGACTTTGGGTAGGGTACGGTTTTACAACCCTACTACTTTCTTAAATGGTTCATGATTCACATTAATTCATAATTGTCATCTTTTCGGCGACACAACGGAATGAACCTCCATCGAACGCACCCACAGTGGAGAGCCTAAGGCAGAACACGCTGCTTGCTGCTTGAATTGCACAGCGACCGTCCAGATTGTAAGCAGGATGGTCATCGCAGCACGCACGGGTGAACAAGTACACTCTGAAATCTCGTGCTCACGACAACCATTCGTTCCAACATGCTCATCGTCCATGGAAGGAGATCAAGAGAACAAAATTGATTGAACAGCTTTTAGAAGCACAGCGCGAAAATGTAGTAGAGCTAATTATCAATAGATATTTTTTAGACTGTACAAATTTATTAACAGAAGAATTGGGAATGCTTTTCGGTTCTCTATGGGGGTTTCAATTTAGTGCTTGGGCGTCGATGGAACGTAAAAAGCAGCGTAATCCAATTCTTCGTGCAAAACTTGCACCTTCTCTCAAAACCTACTAACGGCAAATTAATTAATTTGCACCGATGCAAAACTTACACCAAAAAAAAACGTCACCAATGCTTTGCAGCACCCTACCGTGAAGAGCTGACGGCACGTGGTTAGCTCTACAGCCCCCATTCCAGCATTGAAACACTACCGCACACACAAACACTACCTACGATCAGACTGACGGTGAAAATACCTCGTACGATACGTTTTGATGGCAGCCACAGCACAAATAAATTCATATTTTTGCCTTTGCATTTGAAAGAGTCAAGGGGCAGATCACTGTACACTACTTTCGGAGCATACTCAGTATTACTCACACACACTAGAACTATCTTCAATGTATCTGACCACATTTGTGGCCACACCTGTACGCAATCTGGCCGCAATTCAGCTCAGAAGCAAGTAAAGACGTGCTCGTGTGCGTATGCCGTCGGTTTCCAGTGCCTCATTCCAACCACACAAAGACGAAACGCACATGCACAAACAGGGAAGAACAACATGCACTATCTCAAATGTATACGACCGGATTTGCGGTCGGACCTGTATGCATCTGGCCGCAATTCCGTCCACAAACAAGCAAAAAAAAAGCGCTACTGGTAGTGTGAGTACCCCCTCAGTTTTCCAGCACCTTGTTCCAACCACACAAACAGGAGCTGGCCATCATACACAAACTGGGTAGAACCCCAACATGCCGATCGACACATAACGCCAACCCCACAGCAAACACAAAAACAAACAATCCATCCAACAGCTGTCAGACACCACAGCCGTCAGACACCACAGCTGTCAGACATAACTTGTCAGACGTAATTCGTTCCGCCATGTTATGTGTGAGAAATGTCAGGCATGCCAGTCGCGAAGAATTTCTCCCCAGGTGTCTGAGACCTGCTTTCCTGACCTACTCACCTCGTAACACCAGCATCGAGCAACATTGCGGATCGTGTAGCCGCCACCGCCGAGCACGAGGAGAGGGACATTGAAAGACCGCACATACTTGACACAGTCCGCATGGCCCTTCACAGAAAGATTGAAGCATCCTAATCTATCTCCGGACAAGGAATCAGCCCCGCACTGAATAACCACGGCACCAGGTTGAAACACCTCCATGACTTTCCTGATGATCGGCCTGAACATGCAGTGATAACTCTCGTCGTCCATGCCATCTTTGAGGGGAACATTCAGGGAATAATACTTTCCCTTCCCATAACCGATATCCCGCAAATCTCCGGTACCAGGGAAGTAATCCCCAAATTTGTGGAACGAGACCGTCATCACCCTGTTCGTCGTGTAGAATGCCTCCTCCACTCCATCACCATGGTGAATGTCAATGTCGATGTAAAGCACTCGCTAAAGAACGGAAAGAAAGACAGACAGACAAACCACAAGGAAACGAAAAGGAATCTGATCAGTTCTCTCTGGTCCACTGCACAAAACCTGCCCCTCGATTTCGAGGCATCCACATGCTTGCGGAAGCGGGTGCGAAAGACGTGTGTGCGAGCACAGGACAGCAAGATAAAGAGAGGAAGACAAAACCTGTCTCAACTTCGAAACATCCACACGCTTGCGGAAGCAAGTGCAAAAGACGTGTGAGCGAGCACAGGCCGGCAAGATAAAGAAAGGAAGACAAAAACCTGTCTTGATTTCAAAACATCCACACGCTTGCAGGAGCCAGTGCGAAAGGCGTGTGTGCGAGAGAGAGAGACAGACAGACAGACAGACAGACAGACAGAGAGAGAGAGAGAGACAGAGAGAAACACACGAGAACCAGAATCAAAAGAAAGAGAGAGAGAGAGAGAGAGAGAGAGAGAGAGAGTGTTGCATACCGTATAGGTGCAGACCAGAACAAGAACCGACCTTTCAATACAAGGTATAAGATAGCACAGCGGAAGRCTTAGATRCYAGTGATCCGAACAATCAATGTKGTAATGCAGCCCTGAACATACATCATCATCATCGTTTCATAGTGTGAATGGGTCTGGCGCTTCACACAGGAAGACAGCGCCAGCCCAGAACATGCACAGACGAGGAGGAAGGGGATAGACGAAGAGG